CTGCTGGAAAGGCAAGGAGAAGAACAAAGCCAATGTGGTAAATAAAGGCTTCGCGTGTTATGGGTGAGCTCGTGCTGAGCTTGGCGGTCCAGGGCGCGGTCCCTGCAGACAAACAGGGTCAGGGAGGACGTTATATCGTCCTAGTCTGCACAGCTCTCTGGGAGACTTTAATAAGTTCCTCAAGGATTTTGTTATCATTTGTCTCTCAGCTAATTAACAAGGTTTAGGGAAGAGGCACAGTTAATGAAATTCCTGTAAGCTAGGTCCACTTAATTGAGGTATTTTTTCATAGACACAAATAACAATGCAATTCAGGCCAACTTTCCCAAGTGACAGCTAGCCCAAGGACATAGTGTCAGTGCGTTTGGAAAGGCACGCTGAGTCAGTGCGTGTGTACAGGCTCTCAAGGTCCTGGGGAGCCGTGGCCTGTATGCAGAGAGCTGATGAGAGACCCACAGATGCAGTGTCTGCAGATACACTCTCACATACATGCAGACACGTGTGCATGCACATATGCACACAGACCACATGCATGCAGGCACGCACACATGAACATATGCACACCGACCACACACATGCATGCAGACATGAGCGCATGAACATATGCACAGAGACCACATTCACAAGCATGCAGACGTGCACACATGAACACATGCACAGAGACCACAGTCACGTGCACGCAGACATGCACACATGAACATATACACAGAGGGCACACTCAGACACACAGGCATGTGCATATGAACACATGCACACAGACCACACTCACCGTCATGTGGATGTGCTCACATGAACATGTGCACAGAGGCCACAGTCACAAACACACAGGCATGTGCACATGAACATAGGCACACAGACCACACTCACATGCAGATGCACACACATGACATATGCACAGAGGTCCCCGACACACAGGCATGCACAGAAGTACACATACATACATTCACATCCCGGTGTACACACATTCGTGTGTACACACATAAACAGGCACACATGCACACGATCACGTGCCCACACAGACCATGCTTACAGATATACACGTGAACACACGACACACACTCATACACACATGTGCACTCACAGGCACACCAGCACACACATGGTCTGTTGGAAATGTTCCAGGGTGGCTCCTGCCCCCAGCACCTTAGTGTCATCGAGTGGGGCGGGGGTCTACAGTACTGCATGGCTTCTGAATGGGCTTGTGCTGTCTGGGGCCCAGCCGTACCCTCTGCGCATGCTCCTAATCATTCTAGGGTCTGACTGCAGTCCCTTTCTTGGCTTTATTGTTGATGTAGGCTTCATTTATGAGGCTGGGCTTGGGAACTGGTTTCTTTCTTTTTGTATTTCTGATGTATTTTAATATTCCTTCTTTCAGACTGTCCCTTAGGAGACTCACCTTCCCCTGACTAACCGGTTTAGGGAGGCTAGAATAAAACAGCTCTCCTCCCAGCCTCAGTCTGCTACACCAGAGTATTCAGGGAGGGTCTGGGTGGGAGTCGGTGCGTGAGGAGTGTTGGTTGTTCTGCCCACCCTTGTTGTAAAGAAAAGAGTTGAAGTGCTCTGATGAGCCGTTTCATTTCTAAAGTAGATGCCATACAGGGTTGCCGTTCGTCATAACTGGCTCAGCAGCGACAGGTTAGAGGCTATAAGAAGCTGAAAACAACAGAACAGTGACGATCAGGACATGTGTTTATGAGGAACTGCTGGTTCCACAGACACAGTTGACTTTTCAGGGGGTCTAGGTGTAATGTTTATCACATGCTCAACAGAACTGATAATTCCCAGCACCTGTCTTTGGACCAACATCAGGGTTCAAGGAGACAGCTGAATCTTGGAAACCCCCTGGCCAGGTTACCCTATAGGCAACTCAGATCCAACCCCCTTGCCGTCTCCTAAGTTGAGCCGGGCACAGTGGTTAAGCGCTTGACTACTAACTGAAAGGTCAGCAGTTCAAACCCACCGCAGCTCCTCTGGAGAGAAGGCCTAGTGACCTGCTCCTTTGAAGGTTCCAACCTAGGAAACTCTATGGGTCGTTCCGTTCCGTCGTTCCGTTCCATCCTTAGTGTCACTGAGAGCTGGGGTTAACTCATTAACACACGACGATGAAATGGTTCACTCTAGTGGTTAAGGAATGTAGGACGAGGGTGGGTGTTTGAACCGTTTACGAGATCCCGGTTTGGAAACATTTAGAGCTCCACACAGATCGGAAGCATACAGGCATGTCATATACAGGCATGTCATAGGCACTGGTGGATTTCACATCTACCTCTGTTACGAGAACACTCACTGTCTCTTTCCTCTCTGAAGTTAACCCTCGACACAGGAACATCTGATGTGAGAATAGCTAAAAGGCTTTTAAAATATTTACAATAATAAGCCATTTGCTGGAAACGGAGCAAATGTGTTTGTGCAGTAGGAGCCTCACTTGGCAGGTGGAAGATGGTTGGAGGCCCTGAGGAGGGAAGTGTGCCTTTAACAGAAAGTTCCGCAGCATCTGTGAGAACAGTGAGCTCTTGTGACCAGTAAACATAGGTCCCACTTTGGCGTGATGTTCCCAGACTGTTGTTAAAACTCTAGGTATACACTCCCCAGCATTGGCCTGCGTCTGCCTCCCAGTGGCCTCCCGGTAGCATCTGATGCTCTGTTGATGGTCCAGTACGTCCACCTGGGGCTCAGCCTCGCCGCCAGACAAGGAGCAGCCTCACCTGAGGGGCTGGGAAGAAGCTTGTCCTTTGAAAGAATGTGAGTTATAAGCTGTTGGTGACACTGTTCAGAGAGGGCCTGGCAGACATGCTGGTCTTGGTTCGTTCCCGTTTCCCCATAAACAACTCTGGTGTCCTGAGAGGAAGCCAGGCAGCCTCACCTGGTACGCTCGCCACTCAGGAACCAGGTCCTGGGCCTCAACTCCATGGTCATATCTGTGGCTACCGCAGCTAAGAGTCTCCCATGCGCCTTCCCTTTGCCTTTGCTGTCTCCTCCCCATTGAGAAGTGCCCTTCTTTCCTGAGCGCACTGAGGGGCCTAAAGACGCAAGTCAGCTGTTTTGGGCACATGTGTTGGGAGGCACTGGGGCTTAGAAAAGCATTTCATAGTCACCTTCCTCCCTGCACCCGCCTCCTTTCTCGGTGGCCTAGATGTTACACCCACAGTTTGATCTGGGGGGAAACAAACAGGGAGACCAAGTCGTGCAAAGCGGCTGTTTGGAGAGTTGTTGCCCAGGCCTTTGCTTTCTGTACATTCCCACCGAGACTGTGCCGTGCGGAGCCTGTTGTCTGTTGACTGCGTTTCTGCACCTTTGTCACTCACAGGACGCATTTTCTCCTTGTGATGAGGTGGAAGACCTTGGATCATTTGTAATGTGGGAATGAGACCATGCCCTCCGCGGACCCTCGGCCTACCTGCGGGGTGTTGTGGGACCCAGCAGTTGCCTCTCCCAGATGCACATAGGATAATCCAAAAATCCATTTGTCATTGTGTTGACTGATGGTGGCCCCGTGGGCATCAGGGTAGAATGAATGTTGTACCCCAGGCTTTTCAGTGGCTGAGTTTTCCAAAGTCAAATGGCACGCCTTTCTCCCGAGGCTCCTCCTGGTGGATTCAAACCTCCAACCATCTACACCAACAGTATACGAGGGGCCTTCGAAAAGTTCATGGAAACATTCCATGACCTTTCCATTTTGTTTTTCCATAAACTTTGGAAGTCCCTCCCCCCCCCCCCATATAAATAACACCTGCTGAACACTGATGGTGCAGTGATGTGGTCACTGTGGCATAGAGTCACATGACGTGGTGACAGTCTGTCTTCCAAACAAAGACCTCTTAACATGTAGGGTGGTGGGCCCTGTCCGGGAGGCATAATAAAACGATCCTTTCAGACACTGACTCAGGTACACAGGCTATGGAGGACAGCCCTGTGAGTGGAGCTGAACCTGCTGCCACTCCGGCCCCTCCTGGAACAGCCATGTGCCACTGCTGGGGATCAAGTACCCCAGCTGGCCCCCACGGTCTGTGCGCAGTGGGCCTGCTGAGGACTGATGACCCTGACTGACCCCCAGGGTCTGTGCACAGTGGGCTTGCTAAGGACTGAGGACCCCGACTGGCCCCCATGGTCTGTGTGCGGTGGGCCTGCTGAGGACTGAGGCCCCCACGGTCTGTGCGCAGTGGGCCTGCTGAGGACTTGAGGACCCCGACTGACCCCCACGGTCTGTGTGCGGTGGGCCTGCTGAGGACTGAGGACCTCGACTGACCCCCACGGTTTGTGCATGGTGGGCCTGCAGGGCACTGAGGACCCCTACTGGCCCCCACGGTCTGTGTGTGGTGGGCCTGCGGGACGAGGACCCCCGAGAGAGCCTCTGTGACACAGGCCTAGGGGCTGCTCAGTGACAGCAGCGTGTATACAGATGGTGGTTTTTAGAATCTGCTCATCCTGAGCAAAACCCTGGGAAGGATGAGAAAATCAGGGTGTTCCAGTGCTGGACAGAGCCCTGGTGGTCCTGTGTGTGGGGTAAGCACAGGGCTGCTAGCCACAAGGTCGGTGGTTCAAACCTTCCAACTGCTCTGCAGAAAATGAGGCGTTCTGTTCCCGTGAAGTTTTACAGCCTTTACAGGGTCACTGTGACTCACAGTCGACTCTTGACAATGGGCTAGGGATACCACACACGGAACAAACCCTGGTGATACAGTAGTTGCAGTGCTTGATGACACCTGAAAGGTTGGTAGTTCAAACCCACCAGCCGCCCCGAAGGAGAGAGTTCTGGGCAGGCTGGAGGAGAGGGGCATGGCCACCTGGGGAGTAGGAGAAGGGACCTCCAGCTTGCTGCCCACCCAGGGTCTTACTGGGGGCGATTTCCCATCTGAGCCTGAGATGGAAAGTTAAGCTTAAGAGGAGGTTGTGATCCAGGATATAAAACACGAGGGTCTGTCTGTCCGTCCGCAGTGAGGCACGGACGACGCTCCTCACGGTGCTACCTCATGGCTTCTCCCTCTGTTTTTTCTCCGCAGTCATGCCAGGCTGACCTTGTGAAGGACAATGGCCACAAGTACTTCCTGTCCGTCTTGGCAGACCCCTACATGCCAGTAAGGACCAAGTGCCGACCGTCTGTGACCCTCCTCACCAGGGACTCTGAAAGGCCATGCCTGGGATCTAAGAGGGCAGGGGGTGGGGGTAAAGGGGAGCAGGAAACACAGAAGGCAGGCCTGGGCTTCACTGTGTTTATTCTCGAAGCTGGCGGGCCCAGGAGAACTGGTGCACAGTAGGTTTAATAAGCAGCTGCGTCCCTCACTGACTGTAAGGCCAGGGCAGCCTTACTTCCTGGTCAGTCCACCCCCGGCCAGGGCCAGGCCATTGTTGTTGTTCAGTGCTGTTGAATCAATTCCAACTCATAGTGACCCTGTATAGGGTTTCCGAGGGGCAGCTGGTGAGCTTGAACCACTGACTTTGCAGTCCAGCGCATTAACCTGCAGCATCACACGCCATTTTAACTGTAGCTCACTGTTTTATCCCTAGTGGATTCCGCCTCTGTGAGCTGCAGTTAACTACAGCATCAGTAAGTCTGTTCACAGGTGCATCTCTGTTGTTGTTAAATGCCATCGAGTCACATCTGACTTATAGGAACCACATGTGTAGCTAGCAGCACAGATGACAGCCAGTCGTCATCGTCACCCCTGTGTGTGAGCCATCTCAGTGAGGGACTCCCATCTTTGCAATATGGCAGACCCTGTTCTCGTGGCATCTGTGAACTGAACGAGACTGATGAGAACTAATAGATCCATGGCATCCTGGGGTGGCGCTGTAGGATGAGCTCTGCACAGCAAGATCGGTGGTTCGAACTCACCAGCCGCTCCCTGGAAATCTATGCAGGCTCACTCTGAGTTGGAACCAACTCGATAAATCAGAGAGGGAAGCATCATTTGAAAGTTTACATTTTAAATTTGCCTTAATGTACAAGAGGCCTCCAAAAAGAGTGTGGGACGCTGGCATGAAAAGACCATGGCGTTTTTCACAGACTTTCTGAAGCCCCCTCGTAGCTGATTGTTAAAAGCATATTAATTTGTGACTAGCCTATATGGTAACTTCCTATAAATGTTTTATAATTAATTTCATCATTCACTACTTCTAGCTTCATGCATAATTATGAGAGCCAAGTAGATCTGAAAAGCCTCTCCTTAATGTAACTTAATTGTACCAGAGCATTTAATTAAGTGTAGCAGCTCATTTACATAGACTTAGGTGGCTTTGGTAGAGGGACTTTTGTGTGGACTTTCACCCTCTGACGTCCGAGGAAGGCAGCAGCTTGAGCAGGCAAGAAGGCGGTGCCGAAGGGAGAGGCCCGTGTGCTTTACCACAGCTTGTTTCTAGACAGCATCACAGGCAACGACACTGAGGCACTTGGCTGTGTTCAGGGTAAGTGAGGACACAGATCCGACGACTGAGGAAAGATGCTGAACTGGCAGTAACAGCGGACCATGCGGCAGGAGTGGGCCCTACTGCACCTTCAAACGCTCTGACATTTGGCGGATGTTGTGGATCTCAAAGGAAAGGAAAGGAATTCCCCTGGTGCCCAGAAACAAGAGAGAAGTCAGTGAGAGTAATCAGGGGCGGTGAGCAAGCCCTGCCAGCCTGTGAGAGTCAGAGGCCAAGAAAGTCTCCTCAGAGCTCATCCAGGGCCCTGAAACCCAACCCCAAGGCTCCTGGAAGAAGCAAAAGCCACACCTTTGTTCTTTTATGCCATAGGCCTGCCTGTTGCTGTGATGACCGTGTGGCTGACCTACTCGGTCCCCCAAAGTTGTTATTGCTACAGGGACACGTCACCAAGGTTTCCTCCCCTGGAGCTGCTCAGTGGCTTCCAACCACCAAACTTTCTGATTAAGTGAGGCGCTTAATCATTGTGCCACCAGAGCTCTTGCATCCCTGCTTACCAGCCCACATCCAGGCTCAACAGCTTGGAGCATTCACTCCCAATGGTGTGATCTAAAAGAGATTAAAGTCAGCGTAAGTGTACTCAGACGATGTATAAAAGCAAGTGGCATTATTCTATCAAACAAATCGGTGAATTTCTTTGGGAAATACTTTTGTGCCTGTTAGAAGAAAAGAATGCATTCTGTGATTTTGTTGTTGTTGTTACCCATTCTCAAAAATTATTAAGTAGATGGTTTGTTTGTTTAAGCAGATTTTAGAAAGAAAATAATAGACCGTGTCATGGAACACAGTTGGCAGGTGAACTAAGCAGTTATGCAGGTTCATGAAGAAACTGCTGGACACAGAGGCTACGAGGAAAAGTGTTTACTTGTCTAACAGGAGCGGGAGAATGACAAAGAACAGAAGAGAAGCAACATTTGTGGAGACAGTGACTTAGAACTTTCCAGATTTGAAGACAACATGACTCTGTCTGATTTAGAAGCACCGAGTCTGAAGAAGGGTCAGTAGAAACAGACCCACACAAAGAGTCATCATAATGAAAACAGAGACTACCAAAGACAGAAAAGGAAGATCATCTGTAAAGGAGTGAATATTAATTACAGACCGCAGACTGCTGACAGCAACAGACAGCAGAAGACAAAGTGCAGGAGGAAAGTGACCCTCAAGCTGGAATTCTATACCCAGCTGAGTGGCCATTCAAGAACCACCCCACAGAGCGTAGCCGTGAGGACCGCATTTCAGTGAGGAGGAAATTCAACCCAGGAAGCAGGGTAAAGACAACGGCAAGCATGCAGCGGGTCTAAAAAACCCTCGACCACGTGAATTCATGCATGAACACTGCTCAGCTGAGAGATTGCCACATGGGAGGGCTAATCACCCCATCATGCAAGGGGACACCCAGACTGGTGAACTGTTGGTGTTGGTGCCTTCAAGTTGGTTCCATCTAACAGTAACCCTGCATAGGGTTTCCGAGGAGTGACTAGTGGATTTGAACCGCCAGCCTTGCAGTTAACAGACTAATGCATACCTAAGTCACCATTAAAAGATTAAAAATAAGCTTTTAGATATCCAAATCAGTGGAAGCGCAGCAGAGGAAAGCGTGAAAATTGATGAGTCCAGTAGAAGACCAGAAAGGAAACAAAGCAAAGTTAGAATGCTGAATTCGTTCATTTTACCATCAACGTGCTTGACCCTGAGAGATTTGGGCCAAGGCGAGAGGTGGTGTGACTGGGGCACTTGGCGTTGCCAAAACAACGGCTTTATAACTGAAGGAAGCCACCCTGCTCCCTGGCTGTCCAAGTGAGAGCATCAGAGGGGTGTCTGTTCTCACAGAGCGTTCAACCCAGAGCTGCCAGGCCCTCTTCCCAGAAGCCCGTTCTCCTCTGTGGCCTAAAGTCCGTTCTCATTCACTATAACCAAGCAGCTGGCTTATGAGGAAGAGTGAGTAAGGGGGACTCTGTCGGGCTCGGAGGAAATGAGAAACTAAACGATGTTTTCTCTCCAGGCCGAGCATCGAACCATGACCGCCTTCATCCTGGCTGTGATTGTCAACAGCTACAACACAGGGCAGGTGAGCCTTGGCATCTGCCCCGTCCTCTGACCCCGCAGGGCCCATTTAGAGGCAGGCAAGCAGCCCCAAACTACCATACTCGGGGATCGGAAGGAACCGTAGTTCCAAATAGCTCATGAGGACCCCTGGGGGCACCCCAGCACCACGTGACATCATCAGGGAATGTGCGCAGTAGATGGCCCGACTGCCACTGAGCCAGGAATTTACAAGGCAGTTTGTTGTTGATTTTGTTTGCATTGTTGATCTGTGACAGGACAGAGATGCTCATAGGGTTTTCTTGACTGTGATCTTTAGGGCAGTAGATTACCAGGCCTTTCTTCTGCAGTGCATCTGGGAGAGTTCGAACACAGACCCTTTTATTTATCAGCCCATGGTGGTACCCTGTCACCTCTGTAGGAAGCCTGCCTCCAGGGAAACCTGATAGCCATCTGCCTGGAGCAGCTCAGCGACCCCCACCCGCTGCTGCGTCAGTGGGTGGCCATCTGCCTGGGCCGCATCTGGCAGAACTTTGACTCAGCGCGTTGGTGCGGCGTGCGGGACAGCGCGCATGAGAAGCTCTGCAGCCTCCTCTCGGACCCCATTCCCGAGGTGAGCCTGCCTTGCGGTGATCTCATGAGCTGTGTGGGTCTTGTGGGCTGGCCTCACCACACAGGATGCCCAGCAGCTCCTATGCTGCGCTGAGGCAGCCACCTGGCCCGTGGTGACGTGCACCTGTCTGCCCACAGGTCCGATGTGCCGCCGTCTTCGCCTTGGGCACATTCGTGGGCAACTCTGCTGAGAGAACCGACCACTCTACCACCATCGACCACAACGTGGCCATGATGCTGGCCCAGCTCATCCACGACGGCAGCCCTGTGGTGCGCAAGGTGCGTGCTCTGTCCTGTAGGTGGAGTGGGCGGAGTGGGCATCCTGGAGAGCCCAGCCACAGCCACGAGCCGGCCGGGAAATGTCTGCTTGGCTCTCCCCAAACCGTACTGCTTCAAAGCAGACCCTTGCGTCGTGAGCAGTATCAGTTCCGAAGGGCGGAGGACCAGTGCAGACGACCGCAGCCCCACCGTGACCATCAGCTGCAAATGGCTTCTGTGTTGGATTTAGACATATCATGGGCTGTCCCTACAGAAAGTCAGCCCGGTACCACCTCCATCCCCCAACCCTGCCTCAGTCACAGGGGCATTTGGGGGTGTACCATGGTCAGGTGACGTGGACAGGCCACTCTGAGATGGTAGAAGGACAGGATTGCCCTGCAGGGGGCCGCGGCTGTGTCTGTTGTCATCGGAGGGGGGCCGGGCTGCTTTCTGGCCATTTGCTGGGGAAGGCTTCCCTTCTGGAGAGGAGGGCTGGACATAGATAGGGTTTATTTGGAGAGTCACAACATTCTATCTTGTGCCCCGTTCTAAAATGCTGAAGCTTCATCTTCTAGTGAGCTCTCCACAGGATGAGTTCTCGGGGGGGCCTGAGTTGCTCTGATTTTACTCGGCATCAGCACCACTCTGTCTGTCTGTCTGTCTGTCTGTGTGCAGCATCCTTTCAAAGAGAAACAAGTTGCCGGCAAGTCATCTGTGGCTCCTGGCATCCCCACATGTGTCAGAGTAGAACGTTGTCTCCCACCGGCCTTGGTTCTCAGAAATCTTCTTTTAAAAAACAAAACCAGCAGTCACGGTTGTGGCACCACGAGAAGCCTGGCAGGGAAAGGCCCGGCTCTTCTTCGTGACCCTGCCTGCCAACTTGGTGGCGGGTGTTACAGCTCCACTGCTGTTGAGTCAGTTCCGACTCAGGTGACCCGACAGGCCTGTCAGTCTTTCCCGAAACACACCGCCTCATCTTTTCCCCAGGGAGCAGCTGGTGAATTCGAACTGCCCACCTTGCAGTTAGCAGCCCAGTGCTTAACCCACCCCAGGCGCCTTGTTATAATGTTGTCCACCCGCAAGTACACAGAGCTTGTGTGCCTGTCCTTGAACTGAGGTCTAGAACATTCCCATGCCCTTCCAGGGCCTGGAAGCTAACGTATCTGTTGCGTTCAATAAGATTCCATAAGCTCAGAGGTCAGAGGGTCCAATCCACAGAGGCACCCCAGCCTGGCCACTGACCCATGTGAGCCTTTCCCACTTGCAGATGTGCCCACAGTCCAGCCTCAGGTCCTGGCACCTGTCCCAGACCATTGCCAGGTTCTGGTAGCCCCTCGGACTTGACAACTCCGCCTGTTTTCCGAGGTGTCTTCCCAGGCGCACATGTGGGGCGAGGAGGGCCCTCACACTGCTGGGCTCTGACACTGGTAGCTCGTGTGATGGAGGTCACTCAACGTCTCCCGGGTTCGTGTCCCCGGCAGGAGCTGGTGGTGGCGCTGAGTCACCTTGTGGTCCAGTATGAGAGCAATTTCTGCACCGTCGCTCTGCAGTTCATGGAAGAGGAAAAGAACTACCCGCTGCCCTCCCCAGTCACCACAGGTACTGGCCCCGCAAAGTCCATGTGTCCTTACCAAGGGCAGCAGGGCCACACATGCTCCCTGTGGCCTGGCCAACTGGGGGACACTTCTGATAGCAGCCACCACACAGACAACCCCTGGACACCGGATGCGGGTGGCACACAGCCCTTACAGTGTGGTCCCACTTAGAGGAGATGCTTGGTCACAAGAGGGTGTCGATGCCCAGGGGGCACTGAGCATCTGTCCAGGGACGTGAGGAAATATGGAAACAGAGAGTTTACACACGTAAAAAAATGCTGCAGTGGTAATCACTCTGTCCAATATATTTTAACCACAATGAAGAGAAAGAAAAAAGGAAAAGAGACCCAAACCAGGCTAGCTCCAGCTCTAGAAGCCATGGCCCTCCACCCCCCAAGCTCAGTGGATCACCAAGCCCTGAGCAGCTCTCAAACCCCCTTATTGTTCCTTGGTGTTTGCCCAATGGAATCGCTGGAATCTGCAAGGGGATGGGGGGAGGCTGTAGATGGGGCATTACTGATACTCCTTCAAGATGAGTCACTGAGTCCCAGCTGCTCGGCTCTGTGAGTCATCCTGGGAAGCCCCTTTCTCACATCCCACCCCCAAGCACAGCCGACTCCTCAGCAGACAGCCGTGATCAGGAATAAGAGTCTGAATGTTTCCAGGGATAAGCAGGGGCTAGCCACTTGGCTCCAGCTCACAGCACCCTCGAGTGTCAGAGCAGAACTGGCCATCACAGGGTTCTCAGTGGATGATTTTTCATACGTAGTTCCCACCCATGGTACCCCATGTGTGTCAGAGGAGAACTGTGCCCCACAGGGTTCTCAGTGGATGATTTTTCATAAGTAGATCCCACTCATGGTGCCCCGTGTGTGTCAGAGTAGAACTGTGCCCACAGGGTTCTCAGTGGATGATTTTTCATAAGTAGATCCCACTCATGGTGTCCTGTGTGTGTCAGAGTAGAACTGTGCCCACAGGGTTCTCAGTGGATGATTTTTCATAAGTAGATTCCACTCCTGGCACCCCGTGTGTGTCAGAGGAGCACTGTGCCCACGGGGTTCTCAGTGGGTGATTTTTCATAAGTAGATCCCCCTCATGGTGCCCCGTGTGTATCAGAGGAGAACTGTGCCCCACAGGGTTCTCAGTGGATGATTTTCCATAAGTAGATCCCACTCCTGGCGTCCCTGTGTGTGTCAGAGTAGAACTGTGCCCACAGGGTCTTTACTGGCCGATCTGCAAGAAGTAGACTGATGCAGGCCTTTCTTCGGAGGTGGCTCTGGGTAGATTTGAACCTCTACCCCTTTGGTCAACATCTGAGTGCATTAACCATTTGTACCAGAGACTGGAAATGAAGGATGAGTTTTCATACCAATGTCAGCCCCCTGGTGCCCCTGCCGAGGCCTCAGTCACCTGCCCCACTTGGTTTCATAATGTAACACCTCGGAAACCCTATCCAGGGTCGCTGTGGGTCGGAACGGACTTGACAGCACTTCGACAGCACTTCACAACAACAGAAGTCTGAAGTGCTCTTCCTTGTCCCATGCGTTGAGTCCCATTTCTGTGGTCACCCTGTCTGCCCTGTCACTCATTGCAGCTGCAGGCTCCGGGGGGGTGGGGGGCACTTAACACCGTACCCCCTCCTGACTTTGCTCATCTTCCTGCTTTTCCACTAGACGGGGGGAGCTTGACCCCCGTGCGGGACAGCCCGTGCACCCCCCGACTCCGCCCTGTGAGCTCCTATGGAAACATCCGCGCCGTCACCACCGCCAGGAACTTAAACAAATCTCTGCAGAACCTGACCTTGACCGAGGAGTGTAAGACGCTGGGACTGGTCATGCCCTCCCCTCCCCTCCCATCCCATGTGCACCCGAAAACTCCGCCTTCCAACATGGCCACTACCCACTGTTCTGTCCGAAGTCCTCCTTGCAGATGGGGGTGTCCAGAGAGCAGGCCACCCAGCACCCACAACAGCCAGTGGTCACTTCATACTTACTCAAGGGCCATCCCTGAGGGCTTTGCCCCATCCTCCCTCCTGGGACCCACTTTCTGTGGAGACTGTTCCCCATTCTGTGTGTGTGTGTGTCTGAGCATGGGGGGTGTGTGTGTGTGAGGAATTGTGGGTGTGAGTGGTATGTGGGTGTGAATGCATGTATGTGCAGGTGTGTGTGTGTAAGTGTGAGTGTGCAGGTGGTGGGGGGGTAAGTGCATGTATGTGCAGGTGTGAGCATGTGCAGGTATGTGGGGGGAGTGAGTGCGTGTATGTGCAGGTATAAGCATGTACAGTGTGTGTGAGTGCATGGGGAGGTGTGTATGTGAGTGAGTCTGTGTGTGAGTGCAGGGGTGTGTGCAGATGTGAGTGTGTTGTCTGTGTCTGTCCATCCATGTTAACACCCAGGCTGCTGTCCGACCCCTCACTGTCCTGTTGGTGTTCTGCAGCTGGCAGCCCTGTGGTGCTCTCGCCCGGGAACCTCAGCGCCAGCAGCAGCGCCAGCAGCGCCCTGGGCAGCCCTGAGAACGAGGAGTGCATCCTGTCCTTCGAGACCATCGACAAGATGCGGCGAGTCAGCTCCTACTCCTCCCTCAACTCACTCATAGGTGAGCCATGGGCCACGGGTCTGTCTGCTCCCCAAGCCCCTTACACCACACAGGCGCACTATAGTCAGGCAAGGGGTGTGCCCAGGCCACTCACCTGGAGAAGAAGGAACGGAACCAGTGGGGAGCTTCCTGTCACCTATTTGTGGATGTGGGCTGTGCCAGACCTCTGCTGGTCTATGTGCTGGACAGGCAGAGCCTCCTGGTGGACACAGCTCCCGGCAATGTAAAGCAGCGGTCCTCACCCCCAGCACTTTTGCCCCAGGAGACATTCAGCCACGGCCACATCTCAATGGGTGGGAGGGAGGGTGGACACCAGCTGCTGCTGGACAGCCTGCGGTTCAGAGGATGGTTCCCACTCCAGATGGTGATCCACCCCCCAAACGTCTGAGAAACACCAACACTCTGTCCCATCCCTCTCCCACATGAGCTCCATCCATGCGTGCGCTCCTCTAAGCAGTGATTGTGGGTGAATCGCCGAAGTCTCCTCATCCTTTCTCTCCTGGCAGACAGGCCCTTCACACTCGTCTTTTTCCTCATTCTCTTCCCTTCCGTCACTAACCTCACCCCCAGTGCCTGCTGTGCCTGGAAAGTGCTTCTCCCCAACAAGTCCTAGCTCCCCCGTATTTCCAGATTCACTGACACAGCTCAGAGCAGACTCCCCAAGCCTCTTAGGTCCCCTTTTTCTGCTACGTCTTCCTTCTGAGATCTCTCTGCCACCTGACTCATTAAACATTGACTTGCCTCTTTGGTCAGGCGTGTCTTGGTCAGGCGTGTCTCGCTCCACTGGAGTGCGAGAACCATGAGTGCGGGACTTTGTCCACTTCTGGGACCACCCACACCCGGAGTCTCCACCCACTCCAGAATCAGCTACCACCCTTCAGGTGGGCGTGCACAGGTTCAGCTGTGTAGCAGGTGTGCACACCACCCAAGTGTCTGGCCATTCTGTCCCGACACCTGGCAATGGCTGCTGCTCGTCTTACGTGCACACAGCTATATCAGTTGCCCTGCTAAAGCCCAGCCTGAGTGAACGTTCTCCTTGACGTTGCCTTGGCTGTCCGTCATACATCATCAGCTTGTGTGTCCATTACAGCTGAATCGGGACTGTGTTTGGAATTGCACTGAATCTAAAGATCCATTTGCAAGAATTGACTTCTTTGCAATATTGAGTCTTCCCATCCATGAACATGGTGTATCTTCCCATTTATTTAAATCTTCTTCAATGTCTTTCTGTCCAGTTTTGTCTCTTTCTGCATGAGGATCACACGTTTCCTATTGTAGATTTCATTTGAGGTTGTTAGTTGGCATCATGGTGACTCATGAGTGCCCCACGACTCAGACAATTTTCTGTTGTGATCTGTGGCATTTCATTGGCTGAGTTTTGAGAGTAGATTGCTTGGCTTTACTTTCTAACCTCTTAGTATGGACATTCTAGTGAAACCGACCTTGCCATAGATTAAGCAATACCAGTGGCATAGCCTTCAATATTCCACACTTGAGCCATTGCAGCCCAGCAAACTGACCGATGGGTGGTGGAATTTGAGAAACAATTGCCCTTCAGTATCTGTCAGGGATTGTTTCCAGGACCTCCTGAGGATACCAAAATCCACAGATACTCAGGTTCCTTACGTAAAATAGCGTCGCATTTGTATGTGACCTGTGCACAGCCTCTTGTCCACTTTAAATCACCCCTAAATTGTTCATGGAACCCACTACAGTGTGAATGTAAAGTGCTGTACACCCTTGGTAGCCTTCGAGGGATTACATTGAATCCACAGGTGCAGACCCAATGTGAGGGTAGGGGAGGGTTCTTTATAGTTTTTGTCATTTTAAGTGATGCCCGATTTGTATTTTTAATTGTTTACTGTGGACAGGGAGGTGCAGGTAGACATCTCTGTTTTATTCCTGAGAGTGAATGACATACTTCAATCTTTTATCCATTTATGTTATTTATTGGTCCAGTTGTGAGGACTTGTGTGTACTATATACATTGAGATGCAATCCATACTGAAGGCTGTGGTCTTTCAGTTTCTTAAGTAAGTATTTTAAGTCCTCTTCATTTTCAGCAAGCAAGGTTGATATATCTGCGTATTGCAGGTTGTTAATGAGTCTTCCTCCAATCCTGATGGCACGTTCTTCTTCACATAATCCAGCTTCTCGTATTATTTGCTTAGTGTACAGATTGGATAAATATGGTGAAAGAATATAACCCCGGCACACACCTTTCCTGATTTTAAACCACTCAGTATCTCCTTGTTTTGTTCAAATGCCTCCTCTTGGTCTGTGTCTACAGGTTCCTCATGAGCACATGAAGTGTTCTGGAAAACCCATTCTTTGTAATATTGTCCATAGCTTGTTATGATCACACAGTCAAAAGTCTTTCGTAGTCAATAAAGCACAGGCAGACATCTTTCTGATATTCTCTGCTTTCAACCAAGATCCATCTGACAGCAGCTATGATATCTCTAGTTCCACGTCCTCTTCTGAATCCACCTTGAGCTTCTGGCAGGTATGGTTTCAGCAATTTTTTTAAAAAAATTATCTTCAACTAATTTTTACTTGCATGTGCTAATAATGATACTGTTTGATGCTTTCTACATTCTGTTGGGTCACCTCTATTTGAAACAGGCATAGATACGGATCTCTTCCAATCGGTTGGCCAGGTAGTTAGCTGTCTTCCAAATTTTTTTGCCTAGATGACTGAGCACCTCCAGTGCTGCATTAGTTTATTGATTTATTTTGTCAATTCCTGGAGCCTTGTTTGTTGTCAATACCATCAGTGCAGCTGTGACTTCTTCCCCTAGTACCATCAGTTTATGATCACATGCTACCCCTTGAAATGGTTGGACACTGACCATTTCTTTTTGGTACAGTGACTTTTGTGTATCTTCCATCTTCCTTTGATGCTTTCTGTATCACTCAATATTTTGCCCATGGAATCCTTCAATATTGCAAGTCAAGGCTTGAATTTTTTCTTCAATTTTTTTAACTTGAGAAATGCTGAGCATGTTCTTTCATAAGTGGAAACTTCTTTTCTATTTTAGTTGGTTATGATTTGTCCCCCTGAATAAAATGAATCCAGTGAATGTCATTGACTTTTTCTCCTATATCTCTATCCATGATTATATGGTTTTGCCTCCTTCGTCTATGACAGGCTGAGTTACAGTATTAGGGTTCCTCATGCTAAACTGTCCTGGCATTGCTCGAGGAACCCACCATCTTTAACTCTGTTGGAGTAAGTTTGTTGATATTTTAGTTACAGTGGTTCTTATCTATAGTCACAAATAAAGTCAGCTTATAATTTTTCTGTCTTACACAACCCTTCGCTGGTTTGTTGTGGTTGTTAAGTGCTGTTGAGTTGATTCCAACCCATATTGCTACCCTGTATAGGGTTTCCAAGGAGCAGCTGGTGAGCTTGAACCGGCAACCTTAAAATTCAAACGGCTTTGCAATCTGGCACATTAACCCACAGCACCACACCAGGGCTCCTTGTTTAGGTATCTGAATTTAGCTTCATAAAATTAGTTAGGCGGGTATGCCCTCCTTTTCTGGACCAGTTTGTTTAAGACAAAGCTTGTCTGCTCTAGGACTGTCTAGGTAGTTTACCTCCAAGAGTCTCTGGACTTACTGTGTTTTTATGTGGCTGTATTTTAATCCTGATTCTATTCCTTTAATGGTTGCAGGATTATCCGGATTGTCTATTTTGATCAGTTGTGTTTTGTAGGGCTTGTCTGTTCAGCCACATCTTCACCTTCACTGCCGTCGAGTTGTTTAGCGTAGTCCCCTGGCATTTTTCACACCGGTGGTTTCTGGGGAGTCCTTGTGCTATAGAAAGGAAGCTCATGAACTTTCCGTTTTCTTCCTTTCTGATGTAAGTATTGAAGTCTGTGAATGTCCCTCTCAGTACTGCATCTACCGCCATCCCTCAAGTTTTGGTAGATGATTTTTTGTTAATGTTGAGTTCCAAACTGTTTTCTTCTTTCCATTACTAGTCCTTTGCCTTAGAATTCATACACAGTCTGCACACCGCCTAATGCAGTGGGCTGTTTCTGACTCACCAGGGTATCATCTGAGGAGGGGGGCTATCAAGCATACTTCCCAGCAGACACCACTAAGATGACCCTGCATGGCCAGGCTGGATGTCACGTGAGAGTCTGACCAGCTGTTCCCATCACCGGGATGGGAGGTGGCCGTTAGGCCCCTCTAGACTAGTGAGAGCTAAGAGGGGCATTTGTGTTCACCACACATACATGCACGCTAGTACACATTCACATGCACACACATGCTACACATGCCTCCACATACACACACTCACGTGTACATGCAACCCACTCACATGCACATACATATAGTACATGCCTCAACACACACATTCAGAGAAGCATGTGCATGCAACACACTTACATGTGCACACACACCACACGTCTCAACATTCACACACAAGCACAATGCACTCACATGCACATGCACACCTCAACATGCATGCACACAAATTCACAGGCACATGTGTGTATGCATGCATCATACACACCAACACACCCTCCACATGCATGTGAGCGCACACACAACACACTTGCACAAACACATGCAGGCTCATATACTAACATGTATACACATGCACACACATACCCACATATACCCAGACATGCATACACCTGCACGCATTCTCATTCATATATACACACACATACCTGTAGGCTCATACACTAACATGTGTACACATGCACACACATACCCATATATACCCAGACATGCATACACCTGCACATGTTCTCATTCATATACACTAACACGTATACACATGCACACGCATACCCAGACATGCGTACACCTGCACACCGTCTCACTCATACATACACATACCTCCACACACGTGCACACACTCCATGACTTAGCTTCTTTCCCCTGAGAGCTAGCACTGCCATTTTGTGTGTTCTTTGTTCACTAATTCTGAGGGTCGCAGAGGGACAGAGCCGGCCCTCAGTAAATGTTAGCAGAATGCATGCAGGTGTTCTTAGCTCACCAGGAAATATATCCTACACACTCATTTGTGTTTGCTTTGAACTAGAACATTAGCTTTTTTGTGGAATTCATGTTATATATAATGGCTACGTTCCCAAGCTAGCCCACAAGAGTCGTTTAAAACCATATGTCTATAGGAATCTAAATGCCTCTTTCTACTTTTGTGTCTTCAATGAAAGCAAAATATTTTAAATAATAGAAAACAAGTAATAGAAGTCTGTAGAATGTTCAGCTGTGCCTCTCCCTGCTCATGTGAGAAATTCTAGTTGCATTTCCGAACGTGAGCTCCGCGTGTGCCTGCACCCACTCCAGGTCACGCACATGGAAGGTGAGGGGTCGGCAGCCCTTTCTGTAGAGGGGACACGCTGACTGTGGCTGACGCCACCTCTGTCGCTGAGCGTGAGAGCCACTAAGGACAACATAGAGATGGACGGCCATGGCGCGCCCAGTCCAGCTTCATTCGTGGACATGGCAACATGAATTCCTGGTAACATTCACGTGACTACTGCACAGGAGCAGGCAGTGGTGGGCTGGATGTGGCCCCCAGGAGCTCCCCCAGAATGAAGCCGAACCCCAAGTCAGCACGTCCAGGAGGCAGGTAGCACAGCACTTCCACAGGGAGGAAGGCAGATTGTGTCATCTGTACCAGAGTCTCCATTCCCTCCCCAGAGAGCACACAGCTGTCCCCAGCTCAGCCTCGATGGCCTCCCGCTGTGGGCATGGGCCTCTCAGAGCAGAGTGAGACCCAAGAGCGGGGTGAGATGCTGGGGTGGGGAGCCCCCAGCTACTGGCAAGAGAGGTAGTTACGTTGTGTCTCCGTGTGAACACCCCACGCTCAGGGTCTCCTCTCTCCCATCTCTGGGCCCTTCCCAGTCTTTCTGCAGAGGTTACAGCTGCGTCCTCGCTGCCTCCTTCTCTCAGTCTGACGTCTGGAGAAAATCATGTCTCATTGAATCGCAGGAAGCTTGAGGGAGGTTCTGAATGAGCCAGACTCAGGGAGCAATGTTCAGAAGACAGACAGCACCCCACCGCTGAAACAGCCGTGTTTAAGAAGTGTTTAAAATTCATGGCATGCACAGAATCCCATTGCTTTCATGACTCAGACCACCAAAGAAGAGCAGTCTGCGCATCCCCTTTGACAGACTGTTACAAAATAGGTTTCCAAAAGTATGGCAACCCGGAAGGTCTGCTTCTCCTCTTTCAGAAACCACTCCCCTCCCATACACCCTCTCTGCCTCCCAGGGTGTATTTCCCCTGAGCTAATGGCCCCCACCAGGGGGAAGCCCCTCAGAAAGGAACCTTCAGGGGCCTGAAGGTGCAATGAATGAATGTGAAGCTCAATCCTGGGCATCCTGTGCCCTGAAATTCTGGAATGTTCTCACTATTAGTCATCTGGTGTGATTCTACCTCAATCTCCCAAATCAATCCTTTCCAGGCCCCTCCCTCCCCAGGTGGCCCCCAGTCCTCCTCCTGCTGACCAACCTCCCCACCCACTGCACCTCTCTGCGCAGTGCACCTCCAGCAGCTGCTGGACCCAAGCCCATGGCCTGCGAGCCCCTCTTTCTGCACCCCCAGTCTTTGAGGTTCTGTCCACCACAAGCCCAGTGTAGGACCCAAGCCTCCAAACACAAAGGCACCCTCCTTTCACCCAGACCTGGTGGTGCAGCAGATTAGGCTGCTCCCCAAAAGGCCCACGTTCAAACTGGCTGCTCCACATTTATAAGTATCTATATAACTGCCATACAGTCTTGCAGTTCTCTGCCCTATAGGGGGCGCTGTGAGTCAGAATCAACTCCACAACACTGGTTTGACTCTGTTGCTGCTTCAACCTACACTGATGCTATGGACCAGGAAGTAACGATGCCTCTTCCCCTCTTCCTTTCTTCTTTCTACCTTGGGAAAGACTCAGATGGGGGCTGTGTATCGGGTGGGGGATGGGGGATGTGGCTAATGCTGAGGTGGGATGCGGTGTGTTAGGGAGGCCCGGCTGAGGCAGAGTTTCCGGTCCCCCTGCAGATGGACAGGCAGTAGTGTGTGCCTGTTAATGGATGGGTGCCCTCTCAGCCTGTTAGTCTGATCTCTCCTGGTTGGGAAAGGTACTGAGGACATGGGCAGTGTTATTTGCTGAAGCTACAAGTTGAGTAATGTTATTATAGCGAAGTCTGGGTGAAATGCCTCTGTCATCTGGAGGGTCCGTACTGGAAAGGGTGGGGACACGTTGGCTGCCACAACCAAAGAGACACTGTCTTCTCGCAAGCACTGGAGTCCTCGGTCTGGACGGCGAAGCAGCAGCCCTTTAGGTCAGGATCTTGCGGAGGTGGGGTCATCCTGGCGACAACCGTGGGCACAGCAGAAGCCATTGCCTGCCTTGCTGTGTATCAGGGTCCTGGTGCTCTGGAATCCATGCTTGTGGCCACTGTGTCCTTTGAAGGTCTTCCAACCCAGGGGCCCATCTTCCAGTTCCCCATTAGACAAGTACTGTTGTCCACGGGATTTCTTCGGTTCCGTTTTGGAAGTAGACCTCCAGCCCTTCTCTCCTAGTCTGTCTTAGTCTGCAAGCCTTGCTCAACTCTGTCCCCAGTGGGTGATCCTGCTGGCATGGCTTCTAGCCTCCCAGCAGCACACAAGCCACCACGACATGATGCACTGACAGCGAGGGATCCTTTAAGACCAGGGGGCCGAGTGCCAGCAGCTGCCCTCCACCCCCTTCCCCGTGCGCTGGGTCACGGGTCCCTGCTTGGAGTGGAAGGCTATGGCCGCGGCTCTCAGGAACAAAGGGAAACCATTAGTTACGCCCTGTAATTACTTTCAGTCTAGACATAGAAACGGGTGCTCAGAGCCACAGAGAGGCCTGCCAGGCACAAAGCCCTCATCTAATGCTCCTCACCTCCTGTGTCCCCTGGTGTCCCCACACCCACAGTCCTAGCATCCCACAGTCCTAGCAGTGACAGGACCACCTCCCTGTGCCCCTCACTGGCCTGGACCACCACCCCACAAGGCATCAGCACGTCAGATGCTTCATAGAAGAGGTTGCAAGAGTGGGTCTCGCTCCCCCTGCTGTTATATGAATCGAGGTCCTTCTGTAACCTCATCATCCCGGCCACTTCTTCGCCAGTGCGTAGCTCCTCCCCCCCCCACACACACACCTTGTGTGTTTTATGATGTGGGACCATCGCTCTCCCCACACAGACTACCACTGCCGTGGAGACTGTGAGCCGTCACTGCCTGAGTCTGTCTCCCGTGAGGACTTGTCCATGTGCTGAAGGGAAGGGCTGGGCTCATCAGAGAGGCACGTGTGTCCACTTTTCCTTCTTGTGTGTCCTGAGTTGGGGATTTCTTTCTTCCTGCTACCTACCTAGTCCCTAAAAGAAGCAAAAGTGTGGCGGACATCAGCTGGAAGAATAGGACTCTTGCCTACATTCACTGGGATCCTCAGATCTGAGAGCAGACAGGAGGGCCAGCAGAGTGCGGGGTGATGCCGGCCCTCACTGCCCCCAGATCCATCGTGTGCACCACCCCTGGTTCTGGTGGCTGGAGCTGCATGTCACATGGCAGTACTCAGCTGTGCTGGGGGCACGTGTCCCTGAGGACACATTTGGCCGGGGACACCCTAGTTGTGTGGTGTGCCTTCTCTAGAGGCATGGCCTCCCCATGATCGGCAGAGCCCACACTGAAGCCCCAGTCAAGAAACGACAGAGCAGTGAGCAGGTTGGTGTGAACACTTGGAGGTGTGGTCCCACCCTGTGGCTCCCTGGGCCAGGTGTGATTCAGAGGTGCCTACCACTTGATCACCATTTAGCAGCAGGCAGGCAGTAACGTGCATGCGTGCATGCACACCCATACAACTTGTGTGTGTGTGAGCCCGCATATATGTGTATGTACCCTATAACGATGCTGTCCACTGAAGTCATGCGTGCACGTCATACAGCTCGTAGTGTGTGTGTGCTGACATGCGTGTGTGTGCTCCCATATGACTTGGGGTGTGTGCTGACGTGCATGTATGTCCATCCATACAACTCACCTGTGGATGGGAGACTTTCAGCGAAGACACCACACACCGGAGGTCACATGGGCACTTAGAAACCTAGGAAGTGACATCCAGTGTTGCTCCCAGAGCAAGGTCTTACTCTCAAACAATAGGTGTTTCAAAGAGAAATCCTGCCCTTCGTTAACCCAGTTTTCTTCCAAGACAGACTCAGCCTCAGAAGATGATATCAGTGTAATCCAACCTGAATCCCTGAAGGGTCCGTTTCCAGAATAGCAAAACCCTAGGAGTTCCCTGTAACTAAACCCTTTAAAGTTATCATTTTCAGCAAATGGAACTACCTCAGAGCCACCAAAGGATGAAGTAACAGGTACTTGCTACTAAAAATGTCTCTCTTTTTTCTTACCTAGGAGTTTCTTTCAATAGTGTTTACACTCAGATTTGGAGAGTCTTACTGCATCTGGCTGGTGATCCCTATCCAGATGTGTCCGACTTGGCTATGAAAGTGCTCAACAGCACAGCCTACAAGGTATGTGCGGCGGCTCTTCACCCACAGCGCCCCTGGGTTCTGGTTTAACATCATGAGCATTCCAGAACTCCAGGCACGTTCAGGTCTACGCCAGGGTTCTAAACATACGTAGATAAAACTCAGCTTTCACAACTTGGATCCAGGAACTGCCAGTTCCCCTGCGCTGGATCTGTGTGTACTCGGTCATCTCAGGGCATCGGGCAGTTAGAAGTGGCTTGTTTCTTGTTAACCGACATCTGCTTTTGTCCACATGACTTCCTTACTTCGTTTCCCTGGATCTCATTTGCTTTGTGTTGTCCTTGATCGCCTCCTTTGGAGACGGTGAAGACTTCTGGTAACATAATGGGTTATGAGCTGGGTCAACAGTTCAAATCTACCAGCTGCTCCACGGGAGAAAGATGAAGCTTTCTGTTCCTGTAAAGATGTATAGCCTCAAATACCCCATACAGGTGGCTGTGAGTCAGAACCGACTCCATAGCACACAACCTCCACCTTTGGACACTGTTATTGTTGAGTGTTGTCGAGTTGATTCCGACTCATAGTGACCGTGTATAGGGTTTCCGAGGAACAGCTGATGGACTTGAACTGCCAACCTTGTGACTCAGAGCCCAGTGCTGATCCACAGTACCACACCAGGAGTCCATAGTAATACACTCCTTTATATTGGCCCAGGCACTGACTCCTAGCGACCCTGTATAGGGTTCCGAGGAGTGGTTGGTGGGCTTGAACTGCCAACCTTGTGGTTTACAGTAGTCCCCTGCTGATCCATAGTACCACACCACAAGTCCTGATCCGTTTTATTTGGCCGGCTGCCTTGGGGTGGCTCTTTGCCACCTCACAGATTTTTTCCCCACTGTGAGGAGAAGAACACATGTCAGACACTTGGGGGTTCCTTCAATCAGGACTCTGCCCCCCAGCCCACTGAGACTTTTCTCGACGTCACAGCTGGAACCATAGCTGGTCGACTCTTTGTCAGGGGTCACTGTCCATAGCACCCTTGATTCAGTGTCTGAAGAGATGTTTCCTCTGGGATTCTAGTGGGTTTTGGCAGTTGGGCAGTTGATGTGGCTGCTAATCCCTCATGAGTGAGGCTAGAAATCATTCACTAGAGCAGTGAGATGGTTTTCGGTAACTTTCTGATAAAATTTCAGACACAGCAAAGTTGCAAAGTGAACCTCAAGTGGCATACATGGGATTTTACAACCGTCCTAGCATGCTCTGGGCCCTCCTCAGACCCCAGCCCAGCAGAGGAGCTGGCCCTCACCAGAGCCACATGGCCTGTGGGAAGTGTTCAGTGGGCTCTCGGCCAAGGTCTTCCATTGCTGTTAGATGCCATCACGTCGATTTTTGACTCATCACAGCACCACGTGGAGCCTGGCGGCTAACTGAACAGTCGGCGTTTCAAACCCACCAACCTCAGAAGCCCTATAGGGTCACTGAGAGACCAGCCCAACTCCAGTGGACTTGGCTTGGTTGTTAGCAGTTTCATGTAACAAAGGAGAGCTGCTTCCTGGGCTCTTCTGGGCTGTCGTCTTTATGGGAGCAGATCACCACCTGGGCTGCCTCCTGTGGAGCTGCTGGGCAAATTCGAACTGCCCACCTTTATGCTGAGTGCTTACCTGTCCGCCACCAGGGCTCCGTAGTCTGTTGTTTCCACACCTGGGTCTCCAAGCACGTTCACACACACAGACACATGCAAGCACTCATATAAGCGTACTCGCACACTCACACATACACACAGTCACACGCGTACACACAGACATAAACACGTACATACAAGCACACTCACACATACACACACAGAGAGACAAACACACATGCAAGCACGCTTGTATACGTAGACACACACAGGCAAGCATGCTTGCACACATATGCACACAGACATAAACACATACATGCAAGCACACACAAACATACATGCAAGCACACACACATGCACACACAGAGAGACATAAATGCACATATGCAAGCACGTTCACACACACACACACACACACACCCTCACTCAGGTACACACACAGGCAAGCATGCTCGTACACGTGCACACACACTGGTACCTTGTTTGCCTTATTGGCGCTGGCCCCCCATTGAGCCACACACGCTACAGCGCCTCCCCTTTTGCCAAGTCTGCCTGCCTAGTGTTGGACTCGGTGAAAGCAGTGTTTGTGGGTCTCATGGGGTCACTTCCTGCCCCATCAGCACCATCTCACCATTTGGGCTGCTGCCTCCCGAGCTTGTGGTGATATCGCACATGCTGATGCCACAGAGCCACGCTGCGGGCACAGTTTAATGCTGTGGTAACCAATCTCCTCGTGCCCTTTAGAGAAGCTGTAATAATAATGCAGACATGAGTCCTGGAGAGATGGGACTACACATACGGCCCCAGCACTTCCTTCTACCAGCTCAGAAGCATCCCCAGGGACTCACCCACACTCACCTCTTCCCCCAAAGAGCCACCCAGTAGCTACCCCCTTCCTCACAGTCTGTGTGACCAGCTTCAAAGAGTCAGAACCTTCTAGATTTTCTTTACATATCACTGGTCTAAAGGAGACGCACTGGTTACTGTCACGCCTACCCTAGCACATGGTGCCCCACGTGTGTCAGAGCAGACCATGAATGGGGTCTACAGGAGATGAACCAGTTACCGCCCAGTCACATGGTGCCCCCACATGTGTCAGACCCTGAGTGGGGTCCTGAGAGGCTGACTTTTCAGAAGCAATTGCCAGGCTTGTCTTCCAAGGTGACTCACTCCCCCAAGCTCTGGGTCAGCCACTGAGCCTCCGCGTCGCCATTTTTCCATTGCAGGAGGCAGCCAGTCCGTTCAGCTAAATCAGTGTCTTTGTTGTTTGGCAGGAAGCTAAGAGATAGAGAATGGGGCCAATTCAGAAATAAAACCTAGTAACCATTTTCACTTAAATCACTTTAAAGTTCTCACTGAGCATTAGTGAATCATTTCAGCTGTTAGAAACTTGTGTTCAGACAAAGTACAGCCTGGCCAGTTTCTGTCCTCTACGTAAACCCTCTGAGCTCTCACAGCATTGCCCGATGAGCATCCACACAGCCTCAAGCCACGGGCCCTCCAGGGAGCCTCCCACACTGCTGGAGTGGACACCATGTCCCCAGTTTCATCATCCCCACCCCCACCCCCAGTTAAATTTAGTAACCTGGTTATTTGGTAGTAAGTACTAAGCAGTTTTAAGTTGATTTTTTTCACTAGCTTTACCTGCTAACCGCATCAGCCACTATTCCGAGTCTCAAAAACTATGAGTCAGAATTAGCTCAGTGGCAGTGAGTTTTGAGGGGTGGGGGGAATGTGTATATATCTATCCTTATTAAAAATCATCCTGAATGATTTTAATGTACCCTGATCCAGGTATGTAAAGATTTAGTAACATTTCCACATCTCTCAATTCCGGATTCCACACTGCAGTAAGTTTATAGGCAGCTGCCCCATAGGCCTTGGTCCTTGAGAGAGGGAGTCACATGTGAAGCCCAGCCACCTGAGAAATCACCTTTTTGTGTCTTTTTAACATTGCTCCCTAACTCAGCCCTTGAAACCGGGATGTGCGCTTGTGTATCTGAGTGTGCACGCACGTGTTTCAGAGCTGGGGTTTTAGGCACTGGGAAATCCTCTCTTGCCCGCATTTTCATTTCAACAAGTGTCTTCTGCTCCAGCGACGAGGGGACAAATTTTATGCTCTGGAGATGTGGGCTTACATTAGAACTTCACCCCAGAGCTTCAGCCCTCATCAGAAAGATCCCCCATAGGAGTGTGTCTGCACATGTAGACATGGCTGTGAAAGAGCCCACACATGGAGAGCTGAGGAGTTCATGTCTTTACATTCCCGTTGTCTTCATGGGAAATGTGGCGTGTGGAAGTGATTGACGTACCAGGAACAACACAGCGCAGGTTTCCTGCCACCCGTCCACAGCCTGAGCACAGTTCTGAGCTGCAGACATTCTAGTGTGAGGACACATGTGTTCAGGGTCACTCACTGTGTTGATGTTTCTGAGGAAGCTTGTCAGCACAGCACACCTAGACATAGTGCTGAGACCACACTGAAATCCACCCGCCGGGGCCTGGGCTGGGTCGGAGCTATACTCACCAGAAACATTGGTAAAATGAAAGTAACATGCTTGACTGAAGGTACAGCCATGCGCTTACTCACCAATGGGCAGAGTGACCAGCAAAAACCCAGAAAAGTATGTTCAGAGTGTCATGGGCACCATGACCCATGCCTGTGTCTGCATGCTCATGAAATGGGCCCGTGTCTCCTCCCCTTCCTCAAAGCTTCTGCTTGAATGTAGAGTCGGCTCAACTGCATTGGTTTGCCTTCTTGAACTAGGAGACCTGGGAGACCTTCAGAACTTGGCTAGGGTCCGGTGAGTCTCCGGCCAGAATCCAGCTACCAGGAGGTTCTTTCCAAGCACCCTCTGCATCCCGCTTCAGTGGCCCGGACAGCCTGCAGGTCAACCTGCTATCGGTTCTTCTTAGTCAGATTGCAATGACTGAAGTCCAGCTCGGTGCTGACCAGCTTCTTCCCACTGACCAAGCCCCACGTGTGTCAGAGCAGACCATGCTCCCAGGCTGTTTGCCAAAGCAGGACCACCGCCCTGGGTACCCTTGATCCACCAGCCTCAGTCAGCATCTGCTCACTGTGTTCTCTGTGAACACGGAGCATGTTGTCGCCGGGGGTTGGAGGGGTCCACCCCTGACCTCACCACGTGGCAGCTCCCCACTGCGTCACAGCTCACTAACGGCATCACTGATGGTCATGCTGTTGTCACAGAAGTGTGTCTGTTCCCCATCGGGCACAAGGGCCCAGGCATATGCCACCGGGGAGGCCCTGAAGCAGCACTTTTGAACAAGCTTCTCACGCACCTAAACGTTGGGCATTAAAGTAGCAGGAATAGTTCTCAAATGAGTCCACCTTCCCCAAGGTGGTGCAGCCAAACTCACGTATGCGTGCCTGTGTGCACATATAAGTGCATGTGCACACACGTGTACATATGGCACGAGCAACACACATGCCCTCACAGGTCTTTTCTGTGTCTGCCTTAGACTAAGGGAGGGCATGAGGATTCAGAAGTGGTTGTCAGCCTGGACACAACCGGAGGCTTTGCAGCACCTCACTGGCGCCCTTCCCCCTTTGCTCTCAGCCCCTTGTCAGGCTTCAGGTCCAGTTCCACCAGGAGGACCAGGGGTCAGTGCAGCCCTGGAGCCAGGACGGGCAGCTGGCCAAGCGGAGACCTTGTGCCTGGGAGACAGTGCTGACCGCACCACCCAGCACACACACTGTGGTTGTCAGTTTCTTTCCTCCCCTCACTCCGCCACAGCTACCCACGTCTGCTCCTTGGGCAGCCCTGTCCTCACTCTGGTCCCAGGTCACCCCTTGGAAGGAAGGCTCTGCTCCCATCCTTTCACAACGGTGTATCTGGGACCACATCAGTGTTTATACTAAATGGGGATGTTGGCTAGAGAGCCCCCATCCCTGCAAGCCTGTGGTCACCACACAGCCTGGGGTCATTCTGAAAATCTCCTGATGGGCTTGCCTGCAGTGCCTCAGGGTCCATGGTGCTCGCAGTTGGAGCGCCCTCTGCTGGCTGTAGCTGTGGACCGTGGATTACTGCCCCTCAGTCTCCTCGCCCTGGGAGGAGGGAGGAGCGCTAACCACCTGCTCCCCCCAGTCTTCCTGAGAACTGAGAACCGGAGCTGAGGGCTCCTGAGTCCCATCCAGCCTGGCGGGGATGCACCCTCATGGCGGGCTATGCAGAGTCCTCCTCTCAGCTCCCAAAGTCTCCGTCTCCCTGTCACCTCCCACTGCCTTTCCGGAAACTGGGGAAGGCGCCTGCTAACTTCAGAGCTTCTTAGTTTAAAATTCCCCCTCTCTTTTTAGCTTTTCTCTTTTTAGACTTTGTAAGAACTTATAGGGCACTCAGGTTTTGTATAAAGTGTATGTGTGTGAGTGTGAGGGTTGGTATATTTAAATACCAAAAGGGATACATCTACAAAGAATAGATGACTTTTGCAATTAAAAGTTTTTAGACAACTCTTTTTAAACGTGGGCTGTGGTTCGCCATGTGATGCAGGCTGAGCGCAGTGAGTTTGTTGTGGTCGTTGCCGTGGTATTTTATTTATCTCTGGGTTGTGGGTACACTCTCAGCTGCCACATGACTGACTCGGAGCTTTGAGTGGCATCTTCAGTCGTAGCTTCAGGCTCCTTGAGAACGTGGACCCTTGGGGCTTCTGTTTTGCCTGTTGGTTCACAGGCTCCAAACCTCTCGGGCAGGTTTACCCGAGTCAGCTTGCAGGGAGCATGGGTTGGGTGTAAAGAATCCTCCTGTCCCGCCTTCATTAAAACTGGAGGACTCATGTTGGTGTCCACTCATGCCCATGCCCAGCTAGCCCAGGTACCAGAGTCAGCCTGGGCTCTGCTTTAGGAGCTGCCTGGTTGACCGGATGCCTCAGCGTGTATCACCTCTGGTCCCCTAAAAACTCAAGACAGGGTCCCCTTCTGAGAGCCAGGCCTAGGCCGGGACAGACTCTCTTCCGGGAGAAATGTCTATGGAAGGAAGTGTGCAGAAACTGCCATTTGACAAACATGTCTCCAGATTGCTCCCACGATGGCTAAAGAATTTCACCCTCTCAATGAGAGCTGGAACGTCCCTGAAGATGAGTCTGGAGCAGAGCGCGGGCAGGCAAGGCAGTGGGGGGGAGGCACTGAGTGCCACCTCCGTTTTCAGGGCAGCTGTGTATCTTCCTGTAGGAGAATCCCCTCAGACCCTCTCCCCAGGAGCTGCACCCCTGGGCCATTTCTCTTACCTACACTCTTCGCATTGGTGTGGGAGGAAAACACTGGAATCTTCAGACGGTTTCTCCAATTCCCTCCACACAAGGCATCCTCTGCCACTTCAATACCACCTAGGAGACCCCCCTCAAGTTAGTCTTGTGACCCCAGATGAGGGACCCCACAGGACCTCACGCTTTATCTCATGTCCCTGAGCAGGCGTCTCTGGTTACTGTGCCTTTGTTTTTCCAGGCCACCGTCAACGCCCGGCCCCAGCGCATCCTTGATACCTCGTCCCTCACACAGTCAGCCCCGGCCAGTCCCACCAACAAGGGCGCCCATATCCACCCTGTGGGGTAAGTGCTGCGGTCAGGCTATGTGTAGGAGGGGCTTCCTGCTGATACCCGCTATCACTCGTCAGTCTTCCTCTTCAGCAGCGTGTCTTCCCTTCCCTGCTGTCCCTCTGCTCCTCGCCTCCTCCCCCTGATCTGTGCACATGCACTCACGCTTTCTCTTGTAGACTCACGTGTACACTGATCCTGTCCCACGTCCTCCTCCCTCTGACATGTACACTGACCCTGTACACGTCCTCCGCCCCTGACCTGTGCACGTGTACTCACATGCTCTCATACACTTTCACGTTTACACTGACCCTGGCCCACATCCTCCTCCCCTGACCTGTGAACGCGTACTCACGCTCTCTCTTATGTACTCAATGCACATACTGATCCCTGTCCTATGTCCTCCTCCCGTGACGTGTGCATGTGCGGTCACGCTCTCTCTCATATACTCTGAGCCTCCACCTGTGTAACTCCACCACAGAATCCCTGAATCCTAATGGCGTCTTTCAAGCACACATGAAGTAGCTTCCTTACGCCTCAGGAAGCTGCTGCCCTGTCTGATTTGATTGGAGCAGACAGACAGACGCTCAGTCCCCTCCTGGGGTAGGCGCAGTCAGCTCGTTGGTGGGCCCCTGGCTGCATTAACTGAGGAGCTGCCGGCCAGCGTTAGCACTGGCCACTAACTCAGCCTCAGTGAGTGGTATGTGGAATTATGTTGGCACATCCAGTGACCAGAACATTCTCCCAGGAGATGGGACTGACTGAACGCCCCATCTCTTGGCGGTATCTGGTGGGGGTGGAGCTCCTAGTGGGATCCCAGTGACCACTGTGTCCACTCCCCATGCAGAGGCTCCCCGCCCACCTCCAGCACAAGCAGCTCTAGCCTGACCAATGATGTGGCCAAGCAGCCGGTCAGCCGTGACCTGCCCGCAGCTCGCCCAGGCACCACAGGCACCGTGGGGGCACAGTACACTCCACACTCACACCAGTTCCCACGGACACGGAAAATGTTCGACAAGGGCCCGGACCAGGTATGGATGTGATGCTTCGTGGCGCCTGGTAGTTTTCAAATACCTGTCCCATTCAGCTAAGAGACTGGTACTTAGCCAAGATGCTTTGTGGGGAGGAGAGTGGCGCCCCACACTTGTGGCTACCACTCCCTTTGGGCACCCTGCCTTGAGCCCCCCACCCTGTTTGCATGGCCCCACCCTCGTGGCGGCTGCAGGGTCCCCAGCTTCCCGTCCTCGACCCCGCCCCATACTTGGATGTCCAGAGCAGGTCAAAACCTTGCACCCACAGAAATGTAGCTTTTCTGTAACATTCCGTTCTTTAGCTTCCATTGCAGAAGGGTTAGGGGGGTATTTTCATTCTCCAGGGGCCATGCGCTCCTCTCGGTTGGGACCCAGGTGGAAGGTGGAGGCTGAGCCTGTGAAGAAGGAGAGCAGCGGCCTTGCATGTTCCTTTTGGAAAACATGTTGCCGTGTGTACTGTGGACCCCGTACCCTCCTCAGATGCCATGGAGGGAGAGCCACAGAAATGGCCTCCGGTGGTGCTCGAGCACTGCTCCCAGCTAGCAACGCCTTCTCCTGACCGCGGGTTCACTGGTGTTTCTGCTTCCTCCACGCCCACGCAGACCACGGACGATGCTGATGACGCCGTTGGCCATAAGAGCTTCATCTCAGCTGCCGTGCAGACGGGCTTCTGCGATTGGAGCGCCAGATACTTTGCCCAGCCCGTCATGAAGGTGGGTGGTTCACACCGTGGTCATCCTCAGGGGGACCTGACACTAGACACAAGGACTTCACCCTGTGCTCTCTTCATCCTTGGGTACCATGGGGCTGAAGCCCCTGGGCTCCTCACACATCCTGAGCCATGAGCACCCTCGGCTGTGGGAGGGGGCGTAGGACCCTATGCCACAGCCCCACCCAGCACTGCTCTACCCTCACAGTGAGGCTGGAAAAAGACAGGCCCAATGTGTGCACGTGTGAGGTAGACCAGGGAGACGAGACTTTCACTTACCTTCTGTCAGGCTCACACTAGCCTCATACACACGCACACAGACACACATGCACACTCACACACTCACATGTGTGCTTACACTCACCCCCACGCATTCACAGGCTCTCCATCTCTGGGTGTACAAGGACTGGGGTGATATGTATGTGTGTCTCCTCACTCAAGGTTCCTCTGGCTCTCTGAGCCCCCAGTGTTGAAGGTGCCCTTAGGGGCTGTGACCCCAGACTAGGTGCTTGGGAGCCTGTTCCGGAGGCTTGTGCCGTGGGCCTGCAGGGCGGCTGTGTCAGCGTAGGTTCCTCACACAGCCGCTCCAGGGGGAATCCTTCTGGAAACTCGTTTTTAGACTCTTGTACGTCTAAAGCACATTCTTGGAAACCCTTCTTTCTTCCCCCTCATGTGGCTAATTGGAAAGTGAAAACTACCGCTTATTCCCAGTGCTGAATCAAGCTGCATGTCTGTGTGATTTCCTTGAACAAAACCCAGGCTCTGGATTACAGCTTTTCTCCTGCACCCATTCCCCACAGTGAACATCGATGGGCATCAAGAAAACAAAGTAATCCTTGCCATTACCTGAGGCAAGCAGTAAAGTTCTAATTTCGGGAGCCTGCTGCAGAAAAGCCAGAAGGGGCTTCCCTTCCGCTTTTCAAGTGAGCCCAAGAGTGTGAATGGCCCAAGGTTTTCTAGAAAGCAGTTTGGCTGTCAGTTTCAGAAACCTTCAAGAGGCACCCACTGCGATCCCCTAACTCCTCTGTTCTGACAGTGTCTGAAGGAAGTAATCAGAGCTGAGGGCAGTGGGTGTGCTGTTTATGATGCTGAAGTCTGGGATCAAACTCCTGTCCATCAGAGGGAGGATGATTTGGAACCAGGAAGTATCTCAGGAGATGCGATTAGAGCCTAAACATCTCACTGAGGTCATAGGAAATGCTCACGGCAAGATGTTTGTGGAGGGCGGAAAGCGGGTGTGCTGAAGGGTCCTCACTGTGGGATGTGTGCTCACACACACCTGTGAGCACAGAGCAGAGACTGGGAGGACACAGATCTTAGAACAGAGGTCTGCAGTGGGGGAGCGGAACACTGAGCTTGGCCGTCTCCTTGTGCTGTCTTCCCTGCTTCCTCTGCTAAAGGACACAGTACCTGTATTTCAAATCAGTTCCAACAGCAACGCCAGAGGGCAGAGTCCAACTGCTCCTGAGGATTTCTGAGATTGCAAATCTTTACGGGAGCAGACAGCCTCGCTTTTCTCTGGTGACTGGCTGGTTTGAACCATCAATCTGTTAGTTAGCAGTCTAATGCTTAATTAACCCACTGTGCCACCATGTGTCCTTGGGGAAAACAAACACTAGAAGGGCATGAATCATAGCAGTAGAGGCCTCCAGCGATGTGAGTGGGTGTCGCTGAGTTCTACTTTTCACTTTCCTCTCCTGTCTTTTCTGCATCGCTACTGAACACAAAGTCCCTGGATAGTCAAGGCAGGAAAAAAATCAAGAAACAAACCCCAAGAGACACTGAGTCCCAGGGTCCAGGTCTGCCGTGAGAATGCCTGCATCTCTGACGAGCATGGCTGGTCCTCTTACCTGCTGTGGCCCTAGAGGTGTCCCCTTGAGGTCTCTGAGGAGAGAACTTCATCCAGTACCTAAGACAAGAGAGAACAAACCAACTCCAAGACATGTACGTGGTCCGTCCACCAAAGCTCCCGGCAGGAGGGACGTCCGGGGTCTTAGGGCATCTCTCAGTACAGAGTACACAAGAAGCATCAGGAAAATCTGTGGAAGAAGTGAGTTATTTCCTCTGATCCTGTCACATGTGGGAAGTCACTCTTACTGGATTTCAGTCTGAAAGGACACGCCATGGATCACGTGATTGGAAATGATGAAGGTGGTGGCATTCCTTTTCAGTTCCCACCGTAGAAAACCACCTGATTTTCAGATTCAAAATGGCGCATGCCTATCAGGGTGTTGAGCACAATCGTAGGAAGGTCCAGGGCCTGACCTGACTTGGCTTTTACATAGGAGACCTTTGTAAGCTGGGAGGACGTGGACAAGGGAAACTCACTGTTGTTTAAGAACCATTTTCTTCATACAAGTGGCCTTTTGCTGTTGTCATGAAGTATCTAGCAGCTTGATTGTCCTGGTAGCTCTGGAGGACAAACCCACCAGCCACTCCTCAGAAACCCTATACAGGGTTGCTATGAGTCAGAACTAACTTGACATGATTGTATAATAAGATGCATGAAGAACTTTTGTATTGGGGGGGTAGGTGTAAGGAGTTCTGAGTAAGACTAAAGAGTTAGGGGTAGGAGTGAGGAGTTAGTAGAAATAAGGAGTTAGGGATAGGACTATGCATGGGTGTAGGAGTTCGTGATGTGTTAGGGTTATGATTATGACCATAGTTAATGTTAGGAGCTAGGGTTGGGCTAGTTTTGGGGTTGCAATTAGGTGTATTTTTAATTGTTAGGTTATTCATTATTTGTTGAAACCTCCTTGATCTCTTCATTTGGAAGTTCTGTAACTATATGATCTTTTTGCTTTGTGGGGGCATTTTGTTGTTGGAACGGATAGCTCTGGTTCCCTACTTTCAGTCTTACAGGTTTGTTTTGCTCTGGGTGTTACTATATCCGGCTTGAGTTCTGGGCGATCGATAGCGTCAATGTGTCAGCCTTGGGTTGTACTTCTTTATTACCCTGCTTTATATGTCAAAACTGAAAATAGCTCTGTAGCTAAGATTGTAGCTCAGAAAGAGTAGAAGGATCCCAAACACTAAACTCTTTCGAGGGTAAGTAGAAGAAACCAGGAAGAGGGAGAGGTGGACTGTTTCTGAAAGATTAGCCACAGAAAACCTTATAGAAAAGTGGTGGGCGATGAGCCCCTCAAGGTGGAAGGCACTCAGAACATGGCTGCGGAAGAGCTGCCTCCTCAAAGTAGAGTTGACCGTGATGACGTGAATGGAACAAAGTATTTTAATTTGCTGATGGGGCAAACAATTGCAGACATCCATTAAGAAATGAAAGGTGGAATGTAGTAAGTATGAAACTAGGAAAATTGAAAGTCATCAAAAATGAAATGGAATGGATAAAGATCGATATTCAGGGCATTAAGGACCTGAAATTGACAGATTTCATGTTGAATCGGAAAATCATATGGTTTACTATGGTGGGAATGGAAAGGAATGACCCCACATTTATCATCAAAAAGAGCATTTCAGGGTCTGTCTTGGAGTACAGTGCCGGCTGTGATAGGGTAATGTCCATGTCCGTGGGCCTCAAAGGAAGATGAGAGTCCTGGATACGCACTGGACCATACGGTCAGTTTAACCACAGGGTGGGGGTTGAAATTCACCAATTATGCAGGGTCGGTAGGAAACGACTTGACAACCCTAAACAACTAAAAAGGAAGGTCAGTTAATATCACAATTATTCAAATGTGTGCATCAACCACTAAAGCCATTGATGATGACATGGAAGAATTCTAGGAGTTCCAGAACATGAAGACATAGAACAAAGAGGCGGTCTTTGGAACAGACCAAGGGAACACTGAATGGTTTAAAATCAGGAAAGCTGTGCGTCCAGGTTGTATCCTTTTGCTGTATTTATCCAATCTGTATGCGGGGCAGATAATCTGGGAAGGTAGATTATGTGAAAAAGAATGTGGCATCAGGATTGGAGGAAGACTCATTAACAACCTATATGAGTGGTTACGAATCGGGCTGCGAACCTTAAGGCCCAACAGTTCGAAACTACCAGCGGCTCCGTGGGAGAAAGATGAGGCTTTCTGCTCCCGTAAAGATTTACAGCCTTGGAAACCCTGTACAGGGTCGCTATGGGTCGGAACCGACTCGACGGCACATAACAACAACAACAACAACAACATGCAGCTACAACCTTGCTTGCTGAAAGCCAAGAGGACTTAAAATACTCACTGCTGAAGATCAATGACTACAGCTGTCGGTGTGGATTGTAGCTCAATGTACAGAAAACAAAAATCGTAACAACTGGGCCCATAAATAACAACACGATAAACAAAGAAAACCAATATTGAAGTTTCCAGGTTTCGTGTTGCTTAGATGCAAAATCGACACTCATAAAAGCAAATCAAGATATCAAATGATGTATTGCATTAGGAAAATCTACAAAAGAGTGGGCAGTATTTCTTTGTAGGGTCACTGTGAGTCACCACCAACTCGATGACACCTACAACCACTAACAACTTCTTCAGTCTGAAACTGAGAAAGCATACAGCCAAGATGCAGTGATAGTTACTAGTGATTAGAATGCAAAGTGGGGAACTAAAGAGGAAGGATCATAGTTAGGAGATATGGCCTTGCTATTAGAAGCTGGAGATCACATTTTGCAAGACCAATGACTTAATTCATTGCAAATAACGTTTTCAATAACATAAACACTTCTTTGGAGTCCTGCTGTGGGGCTGTAGGATAAGCACTGCATCACAAGGTCAGTTTGAACCACAAGGTCAGCAGTTCAAACTCACCAGCTGCTCCCTGGACACCCTATACAGGGTTGCTAGGAGTCAGAACTGATTTGCTAACACTTAACAACAGCAACAAATGCCCATGGACCTCACCAGATGGAGTACGTAAGAGTCCGATTGACTGCGTTGGTAGGAGGTCGCGATGGAGACGCTCAGTCAGTATCCTCATTATCATCAATATCATCAGGTAAACCTAGGCTACAAGATGACCGTGAAACAGACCATCAACTGCTCTGAAACAAGC